GGTGTGTTTTCTGCTTTTATACGTCCTCGAAGCGTGCTTAAAAGGCTGTAGAGTGTTTTCTTTAAAAAGCCATAGCATCCTTTCTCATATTCGCCTCTAAAATTTGGTTGGCTCTAGATGGATGCCTCATTGTTTAGCCTTGTGAGGAAAATCTTTAATTATTCGCCACTTATTAATTTCTTCTCCGCTTTATAGGCTACGAATACAATTCGTAAGTCAAACTCCTGTGGTTGTTTCTAGTCCCCCTTCTTGCGTCTCTTTAAAGCTAAATCACTTCTGCCTTTACTATAGGGGAGCTGCATCTCCGACCTACTCCCCTACTTCTAGTTTAGATCACCGACTTCAGGTAAGCTTTTTAAGTGGACACGAAGTATGCATCCATTCGCCTTGGACACGACGCAATTAAGGCCTGTAGCGCCGTCATCCACCTCCCACTAGCTAGTCTATCAAAACTATTAGGTTCGATGTTTGGCCTTGCAGGTAAACGCCTATCTTTTTGACATTATCAATGGTCGAACTGAAATCAATCATCCCATGTGTCAAGAGTGTGCTGAAATCCTAATCAGAACCCAGCAACAACTACTTGACTTCCAGAATGAGGAAATTGCCTGTCTCGAGTATGTTATCAGTATTACCGCCTATTTGACGGTTGGAAGGAAGAGCTCCTTTCTCGCATTCTACTTTTTCCGGTAGATCCTTACTCGAGGAGCTAAAAGCCAACAAAACGGAGAAAACTGGTTCGAACACGAATGTAGAAAATTCCGCTGAGCAAATGTTTTTAACCTCAGGTCAATCGGGACAAGCCTCTTCGTTGTCAGTAGTACGTTATTTAATATTTCTGAATGGTTTGCTTTTGATTGTTAATTGGCATATTTCTTGTTCTCGTTTTCAGAGGGGCTCCCTTGACGAGGATTTACCGGATCAGTTGGATACCTCGGTTGAGAACGATGAGGATGGTTTATTCCGTGAACTGCATGCTACTGAAGACTCCCCAGTAGAGACGAACGAAAGCAATGTGACCACTACCGATCCGCATTACACCGAGGAGGGACTACGCTCTCTTCACCAAGAATTCGTCCGCCTTCAGCGCGAATCACGATTATTAGACCAACAAATCGCCACCAATGAGGCTGCCCTGCTTGTTCGACAGACTGAGTTGGATCGGTTCGCTTTCCCTTTTGCCTTCGGATAGATTGAAGTCGCATTTATGTGATCATATTAATTTTTACTCTCCAGAATAACCAATGAGTACAACGAGCAACGCCTAACAGTGATGGAGGCTGAAGAGTCGTTAAATGTGCTTGACGCTCGACTAAATGATGCTCGATATCAGTACGAGCGGCTTCGACGAACCAACGTCCTCAATGCTGCTTTTCCCATCTGGTACGACGGACACATTGGGGTTATAAATGGCCTCCACCTGGGTCGATTGGCGTCGAAACCGGTGAGATCCTTTTGCATTTCCTTCCGCTTTGTTTAATTTTTTTTACGCTGACGGCAGCAATTAATCGGTGGAGGACGTTATTGCCAGATCGTCGTATCGCGTTCTTATGAATTTTTTGCTTTATCTGATTTCTTCGGCTGGCGAGACGCAAAGGCTCTCCCGAAGGTAGCGAACCTCCTGTAAAAGTCTAATGTCTAGTAGGAAAGAATGCATTAGGCTGAAACCTATTTAATGCTGCTCTACCTTCTCCCCACTCTTTCTCCACCTACCGCTTTAGATCACGTGGCCTGAAATAAACGGGGCTTTGGGGCAGTGTGCCATGCTGGTGACCTGTCTTGCCAAGAAGCTCTCTTATACTTTCAAAAGGTACATTTGCTTTCTTCTTGTCTTTTAACTCCTCAGTGGAACTAATTGGTCCCCTCTCCAGCTATGTGATAATCCCCATGGGCAGTCAGTCGAAGATAGTTGCGTTGCCGAATGGGACTCCGCTGCCTCTCTATAATTCTCCAGGGAGCTTGAGACTATTCAGCAGCACAAGGTTAGCCAAGATCTTCCACTTGTCATAGACTTGACATCGCTTACAAACCCTAAACTTTGTATGAGCACCTGCGTTCTTTTAGCTTTGACAATGCATTAGTGATGCTTCTCGATTGTGTCGGTCAACTTCAGACACGGGTCGAACGTCCACCGGATTTTTGTCTACCCTTTAAAATCCTCGATGGTGGCTGCATTCAGGACCGGAGTGGATCAGTCTTTTCCATCAAGTAAGAGCCAACCACTTCATGTGATATTCAGCTGAACAGTACCGGTTATTGGCACATTCATTCTCCCCCAGATGCTCCACCACTACTGACGAGAATTGGACGAAGGCGTTGAAGATGCTCCTGATGGACCTCAAGTACCTAATCGCCGCCACAGTCGGCAAATCTGACTCCCCCATCTCCAAACCGTAGGTATGTCATCACTACTGCATCCCCCTCCGCCATGCCCTCGAGAGCTTTTGTACCCTAAAAGGGGGATCGAGTAAAATCTATTTTTGCATACAGCACGACTTCGCATGTGAGTGGCTCTTCTTTACGACGAGAAGAAGGTAGCATTAATTTAAAGCATTTACATATTCAATTTATACAGACTTGTAGACATACAAGGCACGTGGGAGGATAGAATATTTAAAAAAAAACAAGCAACCAAATCGTCAGTAACTACAACTTTGTGGATCACTTGTTCAGGTAAAAGAAATAATGTTATCCAACGAGGGTAGTCGCTAGGAAATAGCGGTGCACAGCCGAAAGTACTCTTTAAGCAGAGCTGCGTTGTATGAGAGCGGGAGGGGTGCGGAAAGCATGGCGCGAAAAAATTTTGCGTGGCTGTGCGCTTGTAGAAAAGAGAAGAGGAAGAACAAGCTAAACACTGTACAATCTGCACCAACACGGAAATAGACACGCCCTGAAGATGAAGCGGAGTTAATGCTACTGCAAAATCGAGCATGACTGTGAGGGTGTGGGAAGGAAGACAACTCGCGGCTCGGCAACTTCACCCTCAAGGGGTGGTTTTGTGGGCACGGGAACATGATCAATCATGAGCGGACCACCGCCATCAAATTCACTTCCCGATTCATCGGATGGAAATACAAGTGGGAATCCGTTCACTGATGGTGCTATCTTACGCTCACTTTCGTCGCACGCAGCCTTCATTTTTGAGCTTGAAGGCCTTTCATAGGCTACACTACTGTTGACAGACGTGTCGTCATCACTTGCATCGTCGTTAAGTGTTTGTGCGGCACGCATTCGCGCCATTGATAGGGCCTCCTCAATCGCCTTTTTGTATGCTGTTTGTTTTTTCATTCGTCGTTTATCTACCTTTCTATCATCCTCGGCGAGGAATGGAAAGATTTTTTCACAAGGGAAATGGGAGATTTGATTCCAGGCAACCCATCGCACACATGCCATGCATGAGGAGGGAGAACGATACAGGCTGATTATACGCGCAGGCCACCATGGCCAGCCAGACAGTTTGCACCACACCACATCATCAATTCGGAATGTTACTGAGGGATCCGAGGGAAGTCGATATCGCTTCACTTGACGCTCATTGCCCGAGGGAGCATCCTGATGTTGAGGCGATATGGGCCCAGTCACTTCAGACAGCGGGGAATTCGAGGATGTTGGCTCTGTTGCCGAGGGATCTTTAATGGAAAGGAGGGGGGAAGTCTGCCGATGCGAGCACATCACGGATTCAGTGACGGAGACATCAGGTACGTCGTGCACAACCTCCACCTAGATAGAAGAGGAACAAAGTAGTGATGGCCGATACTCATCACTCATAAATGTGCATTGTATCCAAATCCTGCCAGTAGGTACTCACCTTGTTCGCCCTAGCGACGTCTAGTCAAGTTATCGCAGGAGCTATCCGATAAAAATGATGTTTATATCGACGGAAATAGCCCCTTTAGAAATAAAGACGTCTTTTTCTCTTGGTACTCAAAACACCTAACGCAGAGCCTTTGAAAGGGCTATATGGGCGCTGTTCTGTAAACTTATTTTAGCAAACAAAATTCCCGACTGAAGCTATGGATATTGGTGTCTCTGTGCTCCGTTCTGCATAGAATGAAGACAGAGGCATCAGTACTTTTGACTAAAAAAAGATTTTCAAGTCGCACTTCCGCTCTTGAGCACGGAAAAAAGCAAAATAGGGAAGCAGGTCGTGTCAAATTCTTTATCCATAAAAGAGAAATGAATCAACAAACTTTATCTGTAAGACTGAACTGACTAACTCGGTATTCACTTAGCATATCTGAGGCTTTGCTTTGATCAGAGTCAGTGCCTCCATCAGCTGATATAAGGGAACGATTAATTTTGATTTTTATTGGAGGTATAGGGGGCTCAGACCCAGGAGGCTTTTCTGGCTCATGTTTCTCTAAATCCGTCGTATGAGAAGACCCTCCCTCTTTGATTGAGCATAGGGCCTGGGTACCGTTGATACGCTTCGATAGAGAGGTTTGCCGATCCCGATGCCTCGACTTTTCGTGCGAACTCTTGTGGCGATCATGTGTAGATGCAGTACCTGTGGCGGTTCTAGGAGGGTCCTCATTTACTGAAAACTTGTTGAGTGCAGAGCCCGCCTGGCGCTTGATTGAATCCTTTGTACAAAGTGCACCAACGTTTTCTTTGTGTTTTTTCACGGTCAAAACCTGCACAATTGAGGGTGATGGGGCGGATTCCTGTGCAACTTCGGATTTCTTTTTAGAAATTGATGGAAGTGACTCATCAGCATGCCTGAGTCTTTTGACCTTGGTGTGTTCAGCTTTATCAACCTCTTCTGAACGGCGCTTTTTGATGGAGGGCATCGTTTTGGCTTCCGTCTGCGAGTTGTCCAGTCGATCACCCCGTCTACTTAATCTCGTGGAGGGAACATGCTCTTGAGCAGGATCAGAGGGAAGAGGATCTGGAGCATTGAGAGCTTTCTTGCAATTGTGGCACAGTGGATTTTCGACAGTAGAGCGTGCGTGAGGGGACCGGAAGACTGTACGGGAATGGGACTGAGGTGTGGTGCGTGACGGGAGGAGACTGGAGCGATAGGAGATTGAACGTTTATTGGTGGGACGGAGAACACAGAGGCGCGAAGGTTCACCCTCTGCTTTGTATGTAAATCGCTCCACAGCACATGCCGGCGACTTCAAAGAAAAAATACTCCCTGTACCCGACGACAAGGGCGGCCACGACTCGGCACTAGCTGAACGAGTTTCATTCACGCCAATCCTAGAGCACACAAATCCTGAACATTAGAACCAAAATACCGTCTCAGCAATAATACAGAAGTGAGAATTATTAATGGTAACCATGAGTACGCAAGACTCATGGTTTATGGAGCTACAAGCGCCTCAACACTATTAGAGTAGCAAACATAGCAATTGGGTGCAAGGCAATCGATATGACCATTACTCCATCCAAAGTCATGCAGAAAAAAACAACAATTAAGCGCAGAACAACTACATATGATTTGAGGAAGTGTGTGAAATAATATTAGCAAAACCTATTTAAAAGGGACTTATCCATGACAGATCTTCGAAAATAAGGGCACACGATAGGAGATCAAAGCGCTATAAGATTGCACTAAATACTGTTCCGAAATGAAAGAAAGAATTTCCTAAATTCAGATTTGAAACAACGCAAATAATGACTTTAATTACAGCTTTCTCAGACACATACAAACAACGCAATACCCGAATCAAGAAGTGGCAGATGCCTAGATCACCACAATGACTTTCTCTGATATGCAATACTTGAAAGGGCATGTTATCGCACACAAACCAGACAAGGCAGTAATGAAGAAGATTAGATCAGTAGACACAAAA